CTGATGCCAATCCAAATAGGAAATATGATCATTATAAACCGGGACACACCAAAACTAAATCGACAGAGCTTTGATTATAGCCATCACTTTAGATTTTGGATGTCATTCCGTCTAGACATCCCTGCCAAATTAACAGATTAACAGAGTTGGAAGGTACCTTGTAGGTCATCTAGTCCAACCCCCCCATCCAAACAGGAGACCCTACACCATTTCTGACAAATGGCAGTCCAGTCTCTTCTTGAAAGCCTCCGGTGATGAAGCTCCCACAAAGCCTGAAGGCAACTTCTGTTCCATTTGGCTAATTGTTCTCCCTGTCAGGAAATTTCTCCTTATTTCAAGGTTGAATATCTCCTTGATCAGTTTCTATCCATTATTCCTTGTCTGGTCTTCAGGTGCTTTGGAAAATAGCTTGACCCCCTTCCTCCTCTCTGTGGCAGCCCCTCAAATATTGGAAGACTGCTATCCTGTCTCCCCTGGTCCTTCTCTTCACTAGACTAAGCATTGGGGAAAAGAAAATATGGACATGGTAGAGTATAGGAAGTATAAAGATGTTTAGCAGAGAATTCGTTGAATGTGGTCTCTATGATTAAACATGTTAAAGAGTGGCCATTATTTTTTGAGCCATTGGTGAACTCTTTTCATTCATTTCGTTCAGGATCACCTGAAGTATTAATATCACTTTATAATACCTTGGTAAGACCACACGTGGAATACTGCTTCCAGTTTTGGTCACCATGACATTAAAACAAAAGATGTTGAGACTCTAGAAAGAGTGAAGAGAAGAGAGCAACAAAGATGATTAGGGGACTGGAGGCTAAAACACATAAAGAATGGTTGCAGGAACTGGGTATCGCTAGTCTAGAGAAAAGAAGGACTAGGGGAGACATGATAGCAGTCTTCCAGTATCTCAGGGGCTGCCCCAAAGAAGAGGGAGTCAAGGTATTTCCCCAAAGCACTTAAGGGCAGTACAAGAAGCAACGGATGGAAACTAATCAAAGAGAGAACCAACCTAGAACTAAGGAGAAATTTTCTAACAGCAAGAACTTTTAACCGATGAAATGACTTGCCTGCAGAATTTGTGGTACTCCAACACTGGAGATTTTAAAGAAGAGATTGGACAACATTTCTGTGAAATGGTATAGGGTTTCCAGCAGAAGCAAGGGGTTGGACTAGATGACCTACAAGGTCCCTTCCAACTCTGTTAATCTGTTAATCTCTGAACTGTTTAAATAACACCTCATATTCTTTATTTTTAAGCACAGCTGGTCTGAATTTGCTAGTTTTAAAGTTGAATTCTTTAGCCAAGACTCCAGTTTGATATTTTTTGATTAGCACAATTCTGTTGTTCTGTCGTGAAACTCTGGTAACATAATTCGCATTTCTCTTGGGAATTCAGGGCTTTGATTTACAGTGTTGTATAATATTCACACGTAATTTGACTGCATCCATGTGAGTAAATTAACCAGGCTGATTTAAAATCGATCGATTGGTAATCAGTAGATATTTCTGTATGTCTTAGCTAAAAGGGCACTTTTGAATGACTGTCCTTTGAGATATCTGGAAGTTCCTTGGGTGGAAAACTACTGAAGGTTGAAGAAGAGCATTAGACACAAAAGTTAAGTGATGAATTTCTCATCAAAAATAGACTGATCTGAATCTAGTTAGATATTTGTATATGTTGCGGCTCATACCAGGGCACAATATATGTATGGAGACTGAGATATGGGTAGTGTTCACTGTTTTAGAGAGAGAAAGAGAGCAAAATTGCAAAGAAATGAAGCACTTCTTTCAAATTATTTTAATTCTTTAAAGTGGTTGGTGACCCAACTCTGGTGGACTTATTGCCAGTTATTATTCTTTTGCAATGAATTCAGGGTTTCTAACACACTGTTCACTACTACTTTGTGATTTTTAACTATGCACTAAAGCCACATTCAGGGATTTCCAAATCATGCACAAGGTTGTAGATTAATCCTAATTCTTCTCCCTGGAATAGGGAGATCTGTAGGATGCATCTATTAGTGGGAGAGAGGAACAGAGAAATGAAAGGGAAGAAAGGAAGAGAAAGGAAGGGAAGGGAAGAAAGGAAGAGGAAGGGAAGGACAGAGGGATGGAGGGGAAGAAAGGAAGAGGAAGGAAAGAAGGGAGGGAGGGAGGGACAGAGGGGAAGAAAGGAAGGAGGGTGGGAAGGAAAGAAGGAAGGAAGGAAGGAAAGGAAGGAAGGAAGGAAGGAAGGAAGAAAGAAAGAAAGAAAGAAAGAAAGAAAGAAAGAAAGAAAGAAAGAAAAGTCCTATGAAATAGAAGAAAACATTTCCACACCCCAGGCAGCTTTTACATCTCATGACTTAGCGTGTTTCTGATGCTGTAATGAAATATTGTTTTCCTAATATTCTGTGACCTGAATTTTTTTTCCTGCTTTATGGGAGCAAATCAGTATTTTCTCTAGTCAGCATTTGATGATGGATGTCAAAATACAGGCCATGTATAATGCATATCTAGCATTAGCAATTTAAGGTGTTTACTTGTCAAGCCGAAGAAATTCAAAAACTTCACTTTCACTGAATTCACCCAGCTGTCACTTGCAGTTTTTCGTAATTTCAAATGAAAGTTGTGATAAAACAGTTTAGGTTACCTTGCCTTTCTTTCTTTTTTTTTTCTGAAGGAAGAAAACAGACAGCATCTAAAATTTATGCTGCAGGCTGAAAGGCAGGCAACAAAGAGGAATTTTCTGAAAGATGGGCTGGGGGAAGGACCTTTCTGGCTCTCTTTGACCTCCTGCTTTTTGGAAAAGTTCAAACAATAATATTTAGCAATTATATGCCTCTTTTTATACAAGAAGCAATTTTGTAAAAAGAAGTGCCACACTGATTCCCAGAGAGCAATAGGTAAACTTATACATGTGGCACAGTATAATGGAATTTGCTCCTTTCAAACCCAGTTAAAATTATTAGCTCTAGTTAATAATTTGTTTACAACAAAATAATAAGAAAATGCATCAGTCTGTGTATCAATACAAGACAATATCTGTAGCCCAGGGTTGAACACTGATGGTGTTACTAGTTTGAGAATGGACTGGAGTGGAATGGAATGGAGTGAAACAGAACAAAACAGAAGATAATTCTTTATTGGCTAAGTATGGAATTTGCAGTGGGTAATCTCTCAATGTACATAGAACAACAGTGATACCATTCACATTGTCATTGTAAAATACATTCATCATAAAACATTAGATACAATACTTAGTGATGGTCATAGGATCCTAAATAAACAATCAACGTAAATCATACTAGGATACTAAGTAAACAATATAAATCATAAGATGCAAACAACAACGTTATAGCCTTAAGAAGATAAGGAGATAGGTATTAGGGAGGATGAGAATAAGGATGGTAATGAAACATCTGCAAGAAAACAAGCAAGCTTTGAGAGCACCAAGGACCCTCATTTCAACTCTGAGTTACCAATATGCCCCATTATAGTTTCATACATCTTGTGGCACTCAACAAACCACCTTAAACCAACAGAGGAGATTTGCATTTGTAAATACACCAAGAAACTTGGCAATAGGAATTGGTAAACATACACAGGTATCCCAAAGCTTGAATGACACAAACCAGCTGATATTTCATTTCAAGAAAACCACCAAGCTCAGAGAACGTATATGTATAAAGTCTCTTTTGTGTCACAGACGCCTCCATGGTGATATTTTTTTTAGTAACCGTGTAGAATACAGTGGTACCTCAATCATCATCCGCTTTTGAGGACTCCATAATCCCTTCTGGGGTGGAGTCTGAGCAACTGAATGGAGCTGAGTGCTTATTGGCCAGATGCCCTTCCTGTCACCAGTGTGGAGTTTTGTTGAGCAAATATATTCTCAGTGTGCCCAGAGAGAGAAATATCTGCCTCTACCTTACAGCCTCCTGCTTGTGAGGTGAGAACTTCACCTCTAGGCCATTGCACCACAGTGGTACCTCAGTACTCCTTGTTAATTGGTTCTAGAAGGTGTAATGAGCACTAAAAACAATGAATACCAAACAAATTTTCTCCAAATAAAGGAATCTTTAGTAAGTGAGTCACAAGGCAGCTGACACAGACAAGTTTTAGCTTGTATGTTGAGTACCAAAACAAACCATGAGTACCGGGACAAAATGTTCATGTCAAAAATGTGTTGAGTAACAAATTTGATGACTCTCAAAGCACTGTATAAGCACACTGGAGAAATGGACCTCAGATCTGATGAAAATCCTAGCAGAGCCAGCATTCTGAGCCTTTGCCCCCTACAACAACCCAAAGGTGTGGAAAGTTGGTGTTAACTTTTTTTTTTTTTTTTAAAAACATACTTGAAGGCCTTTCCCCTGCATGGAATCTCCAATCTATAACACAGTCCTTTCAACAGTTCCAAGAAGGCTCCATGCCTACTTAGGTGATCTTGAAGACAGAGATAAATCTGCAGGTGACCTTAACGACTCGCTAAAAGGATGCAAATGACCAGCTGTCTGCAAGGAGTATAAATCCTTCCCTTCCCCACCATTCAGTCAGAGCTGAAGAAGCTTCTTGGATGAGAAGTGAAATGTCTTCAAAAAAAAAAAAAACCCAAGAAAATCCTGATCTTGAAAAAAAAGCACCTTTGGGATAACCATGACCTGGAGGGCTGAGAATCTATTCTATTCTATTCTGTTGGTAAACAAGGCCCATGTTGTTGTTGAGAAAGCTTTTTTTAAAAAAAAATAACAATTCAAGCCATACAGCTGTGTTCCTGGGAATGGAACCATTTCTTTCAGCGTAAACATCAGAAGTGTACAGGAAAGGGGGACGCAAGTTGACAGCAAATGGCTCAGGTTCACCCTTGTCCCAAATTGTCTTGACCTTCTTATTTCTTCTCATCCACAGGCCCACCAAAGACCATTTCAGTATGGCTACTTCCTAGTCTAATATTTTCATAATTAGAGTCCCGAGTCCTAGTGTAACATCTCAGTTTCTTTATATCATTGTCTCCACAGGGTTTTCGCCACCCGGAATGGACAGGTCATCACCCGACAAGAGTCCAGTGCATGGCCTTCTTCGTCAGCACTCCATTACAACGGGAATCGATATCCCTATTATTACTGAGTTAGGTAAGCTCTCTGGGGATCTTTTTACCTGTTTTCTTTTCATTTTTCCCAGCTTAAGGAATGCTTTATTTAGCAATAGCAATAGCACTTAGACTTACATACCACTTCACAGTGCTTTACAGCCCTCTCTAACCGGTTTATTGCCCCCAACAATCTGGGTCCTCATTTGACAGACCTTGGAAGGAAGGATGGAAGGCTGAGCCAACCTGGAGCCAGTCAGGATCGAATTCCTGGCAGTGAGCAGAGTCGTCCTGCAATATCACAATTCTAACCACTGTAATACCATGAGCCTTCCTCCCTTCCCTTCCTCCCTCCATCTCTCTTTCCTTCCTTCCTTACTTCCATTCTTTCAGGTGTTATCTTCCTTCCTTCCTTCCTTCCTTCCTTCCTTCCTTCCTTCCTTCCTTCCTT